CAAACATAACAGAGCAACAAACTCAAGAACACAAAGCTTCATTTCAAGAATCCAGCAAAGAAAAATTTGAGGTACTTTCATATTTTTCTTTAAGTGAATTTGAAGATTGTAAAGTCGTGACATTTTCTGTGTTTTTTTTTTCTTTTCCTTGCATTTTACTCTGTTTATAACTATGTTTCAAACTCAAGTAAAACTTGAATTTAGTTAGCTTTTTAAGAAATCAACAATATGATTATTAGAAATTTAGGTTTTTAAAGCATTTATAATTCGGAATCCGTCGAAAAATTGAATTTTTCTGTTTTGGCTTTATTTATTTTGCATTTTACTCTGTTTTTTACTATATTTCAAACTGAACAGAGTTCGATTTCAAGAATCCAGTGTGATAAATTGTAGGAATATTAATGTTTTTGAACATATTTCTAACTCGTAAGCTCAAAATTTTGGATTTAACTGTTTTTGTTTTGTTTTACTAAATAAACATTTCACTCTGTTTCATCGGAGATGGAAAACGACGACATTGTCCTCGCGGAGATGCGGCCAAAGAAGCGTGCAGGAAGGAGGATTTTCAAGGAGACACGTCACCCAATCTACAGAGGTGTGCGGCGTAGGAACGGCGACAAATGGGTTTGCGAAGTCCGAGAACCGATTCACCAGCGTCGAATCTGGCTCGGTACTTATCCAACCGCGGAAATGGCTGCTCGTGCTCACGACGTGGCAGTGCTCGCTCTCCGCGGGAAATCCGCATGCTTGAATTTCGCGGATTCCGCGTGGCGATTACCCGCGCCGGAGTCCACCGATTCGGACACAATCAGGCGCACGGCAGCAGAGGCGGCAGAGAGTTTCAGACCAGCCGAGTTTAGTACAGGAATTACAGTTTTGCCCTCGTCTGGCAGTGGTGAGATCACCACGACATTAGACGATGGAGAAGAAATCGCCGGAGTGATGATGAGGCTTGCGGAGGAGCCATTGATGTCGCCACCGAGATCGTACATTGAAATGAGTGCGAGTGTCTACATGGAAGATGAAATATGCTACGAAGAATTGTCACTTTGGAGTTACTAAGGCTTCGAATGGTTACAACGTATAGTATATAGCGGACGAAATGTACTAACAATGATAGTTTAAAACTAAATTATCGTTTTTGGTATGTTTAGTCCGTTCTGTTTAAAATCTATGTATCTATGTATGTGTGGTAAGTTAGATTTTCCCGGGGGTTGAGATCATCTGAGGGGAGATAGAAGGTTCCATGATGAAATAATTTTGTGAAAAAAAGATTCTTGGAATCTATGGTGTTGTGTTTTTTTTTTTTTTTAAAGCAAGCCTTGTAGTGGTTTTGCTTTGCTTTCGAATATTTGGCAAATAAATAATGGGCTTATTAGATATGTGAACTCCAGCCCATTTTAATAAGTCTTTATTTATAGATTTGTGTTTTTTGGTTTACCTAATTTACTAGGTTTTACCAAAATGTATCAGTAG